TTGGCGTGAGGATAAAGCATACTTCCTGGCGATTATAGATCATATTTATTTGCAAAATGGCTTTACTAAGACTTTACAGCGACTGGAAATTCTATTTTCGAAATAAATAATTCTATAGATGTTCTCAATTGTCATCGTACAAATAAAAGATGTATTCGAATTTCTTGTATGATGAAAACTTACAAGTTAATGTTTTATCCAACAGAGTAAGAGATTGCCACATGGATAAATATTTGATAAACTTATATTCTCTTACCTGTTCTTTGCACGTTATTTATGACGGTGCAGGACAAAGATAAGAAGAAAAAAAATATTCTGTCAGCAAGACTGAAGAACGAACGATAGTTATTTTTTTCTCTGACATATTTTTTGAATATGAATAACAACGTACGACATGAATTCAGCATCATTGAAGATTTACCCAATGAATTATTCGTAGGAATTTTTTCTTATTTAAATGGAGTTGACACTGTGTTCGCATTTTTATCTCTTAATAATCGTTTTCAAAAATTACTTCGTAAATACTGTAAAGTATTTGATTTTAAATCATCAAGTAAACTTCAATTTGATACTATTTTCGATCAATATTCAACGAAAAGATGGAAATCTTTACAACTTTCCAATGACGATCAAACATCTGGACAAATTGAATATTGTTTTCAACGTTATCCACTTAGTGTTTATTTCACTCAACTTAAATCTTTATCCTTATTAAAACTGAAAACAAATAATTTATCAATTTTATCTGAACTTTCATTTCTGACAAATTTAACGTCATTAAAAATTGGATTTATATGCGGAGACATAATTTCTATGTATGATTTATCTGATCTTAAGCAACTTAAACGACTTGTTGTCACTTCATGTTTTAATACTCGTTGGACTAATGTAAGTTTATAAACAAAAAATAAAAATTATTGATATTATTTCTTTTCCGATTAGAAACTTTCTCAACTGGATACTCTTGAATATGTTATAATGCATTGTTGTTTAAACCCATTAGTATTAACATGGCCATCAAAATTAAAACATTTGAAAATTGTTCTTGAAAGTGCAGAGCATAACGAGTTACTACCTCAATCAATTTCGAATTTATCTGAATTAACTAACCTAGAAATTTATCAGAAAGAACAAGGATATACAATTCCGAATGGTCAACAATGGGAACAAATAATATCTTCATCATGTCCACTATTAAAAAATTTTAAATTCGTTTTTCAATTCCCATATCAATCATATATATCCAATCAAATAGAACAAATAATCGCATCGTTTTCGACACCATACTATGTAAATGAGAAGAAATGGATTGTTCGTTGTGACATATGGACTAGATATCGAGCAGGAATTCTTTATACGTTGCCATTTACTTTTAATCGTTTGAAATGTTCTTTCAATGGAAAAATTTTAACTTATCCGACCAATAATATTAATAGAAATATGTATGCATGTGTGAAAACATTGGTGATTGAATCATTTACAGATAATGAAGAGCATCTACCTGGACGAAGTATCTCTGAGTTAATATGTAATAATTATTTTATCTTCATCCAACACTTACATATAACAGATATTTATTCTGATAGAAAGAAGTCAGATAAAATGGAAAATTTATCGAAAAAATTTTCTATTCTATTGAAACATACACCTCATTTATATTCGTTGAACATACGTCTAAATGATCTACAATCGTTGACAAATAACTTCTCGAATATTTCTGTATGTAATCATCTATCACGTAAGATTCGTTCTTTGAAATTAAAATCAACTGTATCATCACCATCAAGTTTGAATGAAAGTGAAGTTGAACAAATAATACGAACTTTTGCCTTAAAATGTCAACATATATCCATATGTATTCCGATGTCATTTGACATTGTGGTTTCATTTTTACGAGACATGCAACAACTATATAGCTTACATGTCGTTACCGACGTAAAAAATAATGAGAAAATTACGCTAAAATGGTTGGAACAACAACAAATCGGCTTGAATTATACTAACTGTCATCTTATCAATGAAGAATATAATTATTATTTTTGGTTGGGAATACATTAAAGACACATATCTTTATCAAACTCTGTTTTCTTTTATACCGCTCAGGGTGTGGGTGGGTGAGTGTGTTAGACTATACTAAAACTCACACCCACCCCTACTCTAGGTAACAAAATTAACTGATGTAAAAGGGCTTTTATTTTTAAATCAATTATTAAATACTCAACGATATCAATGGTACGTGAGGAAATGGAAGAGAATCAGCATTCTTTCTGGCACACAATATAATAACCCATAACACAAGATTTAATTGAAAAGAAATTGTTTGTCAGGAAAAGAAAAAAAATATTCTCGAGCAGCGTTTACATGAAACACGTGTCGATAGAAACCTAAGAAAAGATGAAAAAAAAACTTTTTTTCTCTTTTTTTATTACATACATCATATATGATGGCAGCAAAACCAAAATTGTATGCTCGTAATTGTGCCAAGCAAAAAACTTTGTCTGTTCGAAACTTACCGAAACCAGATGTTCTTATTCTTCTCGATCCTGAATTTGATTCGCAAGAGATTCTTCATCTTCTAAAAAAACAACCTATACTCTGTCAAGTAATCAAATTATCAAGTATAAATTCTTTGGCTCGGTATTTTCAGTCACATAATAATAATACAAATCAAGTTGTTTATCTCATCTTATCATCTCCATATGCCGAACAGTTTGATGAATTAATGAGAACTGATGACGAATTTTGTACTTGCGAAATAGAAGTGTATACACTTTATTCATATAATGATTATTTTAACCGCGACGACGACGCTAATAATTTTATTGATCCTGAATGTCTTGCTAAATCGTTAAGAAATTCTCTCAATTCACGTCTTACATTAGATGATGTTGAATTATCCAGTCAGAGTGTATCGATGCAAACACCACGTTTTGCTTGGTTTCAATTTATGTTTTCTTTACTTTCACGTCTGGAACGATCTGATATTAGTATGAAAGAAATGATTCACACATTATGTGCTAAAGATATCGTATATCAATCGAAAGATATCAAGGAATTTGTCGAAACATATACAGCAGATCAAGCCATTCAATGGTGCATGAAAAAGTCATTTTATTTTTCTCACATTAACCGAATTTTACGTAGTAAAAATCTCAATGCTATTTTCACGAATCGAGCCATTATATATGATATTGAACAATGTCTTAGATTATTAAATAGTGAACAACAAGAAATCTTGAATCTTCTTTCACCGATGAAAGTTTATCATGGTCAGGCAAGTTCCAGACAAGAAATTGAATTTTGGGAATCGAATATTGGTACTATTGTAACTATGAATTCATTTCTTTCAACAAGTATGGATGAAGAAATCGCTTTTGCATTCGCAGAAACCTTCGATAATGAAGATAATGATGATGAAGCTACAGTACTCAAAATTTGGTTAGATAAAGAGAAAGTGCCTAAAGCGATTTTTGTGTATTTATATCATGAAGATTTTGAAATCGACGATTGTGAAATACTCTTTTCACTTCGAACTTTATTTCGTATAGATAAAGTCGAATATTGTCCTATTAAAGAAACATGGTATATCAATATGACTGTTGTAGATGAAGATGATAATCAATTACAACAGATATTAACTCCATGGAAAACATCTATTCTTCACAATTATAATTCTATTCCATCAAAAAATAATCAATTGATTTATGTACGTAATTTATCAAAAGATAATGGAGCGTTTCTTGCTTTTCAACTGTCTCTCGATGTTATACTACGTTTAGATCGAAATGATTTTGCTCGTCAAGATATGATAGCAATGTGCCGAACAAAGTTTTCTCATGATAGATTGGTATTAGCTAAAATTGATGAATTCGAAAGACGATATCAATCCAATCAAGATGCAGCAAAATGGTACACCGCTGATAGTTTTCTTTATCGTCTACTTAATCAAGTTCTTCGTACTGAAGCTATTGATCCGATTTTTAAATTCCGTTACTATATTCAAGATCTTCATAATCAATTAGCTGTTATGCAAGTTGATTATCTAAAAAGATTACAAATATCTAATTGCTCAACTTTAATATTATATCGTGGTCAAGTTATGACTTGGAATGATTTACAAGATAAATTTCGTACTAATATAGGAAATTTAATAACAATGAGTAGTTTTTTGTCAACAACAACCGATCGTCATGTAGCACGATTCTTTTCTGCAGATGGTTTTGTTGAAAATCCTGAAAGAGATGTGTCTGTTTTGTATGAAATTACAATAGATATTCAATCATTTCATTCAGTTCCATTTGCTGAACTTCATGATGAGACTATTTTCGAAGAGGAAGGTGAAGTACTCTTCTCCATGGGAGCTGTTTTTCGTATTGATGATATTTATGAAGAACATAAACTGTTGTGGACAGTGAAATTAACTTTAACAACAGAAGAAGAAGAACAATGGAATGTTTTAACTGAACATTTACAAGGAAAAGAAGAAACGTTGCCGATTGTTGATGAAAATAAGGAGAATACTGCTCAAGCAGTTGTTGGTATAAGAAGAAAAAGAAGTCGAAGCTTTGATGAATACCGTTATTCAAAACGTGATTTTCGTCGATCTAATTGGCCTGATTCTTTTCGAACAAAAATGCGTCGATATTTCGAACATCCAGCTTTTAACACTATTCACAAAGAGGTTTAACTCTACTGTTTATTAATATTATTTGTATTTTTAATATAAAAAAAATGGCATAGCTCGAAAAGTCAAATGTATTTTTTTTCAGCGGAGTGATTTGATCAACCATCCGATTAAAAAGAAAACTACGGCAATTAAGCAATAAGTCAATATATAATGTGTAAAGAGGAAAGAAGATATGAATGAGATCGGATATTTTAGGCCAATGAAAAGATACAAGATTTGTAAACAGACACCGGCAGCCGTCGTAAATTGCTGAAAAGATGAAGACGTAAACCTGTCCGGACGATACACTGTAATACAGCGAGCCAGCCAGATGCAAAAGAATATATAGAAATGGATTAAAAGATAACCAGAGTCTTCACCAAATGTAAATTCCCAAGGATTGCACAAGAAACAGAATATATTATAGAAGAAGAGCGAATTCCATGTTCCAGTAATCCTATAGTTAAGTACTCCATACAAGCTGACACCGAAAGCGGAGACTAATTTTCCAGCGAACATATCTTTCCAATACTTAGAGATCATAAAGTCCAACAGTATAAATACCAATAAAATAAATACAGTGTACCATCGACCCGCAGGAATATATATAGCGTAAAAGATTGCGAATTCTAATATTGATGCATATAAAGTGAGCATAACTAATGCTAAATAGATATTATAATCGAGCAAGTGATACAACCAATAATAATAGTATCCTCGTCGTGGTAGCCACTCTCTATTACAAGGAGTTTTCAATTCCTGAATCAAAAGAAATCTCATCGTCGATAATGTATACTGTAACAAAAACCTAACCTGATTCTTTGTAAACCAAAAATCTAAAAATATTGCTCGGTTTTGACCTGCTGTCGGATCAGATCTTTGCTGACAAGTGAACATTTCATCTTTCAGACGTCTGCTTTCATCAATCATTGATTTTTTCATAGCAATTTCTGTTTCAAGCTGTCGATTCGGCTGATTAGCTGCCGTCAATAATTCAAGCCGAAATGATGCATTTAATAAGTTCGAGAAATTATCAATCAAACGAGCAATGCCTGTTTTCCACCAGATTGACTTCACACGTAAAACTTCCACTTTTGGAAATAGTCGACCTAGTTGTTCAAGAATATAATAATCACCGTTTCCTAGCGGCTCCTTGATTTCCAATGTTCGAATGTGTTCCAAACGCATATTTTTGGTTTGTACAAGAAAGTTTCGAAGTCCAGTATTTATTGACAGTTGTCGTAGATGAGGTATTGATTTCAGTAAAAAGGATATAGTCGATTCATCAATTACACACGCAACAATTAAAGTTTCTACTTGGCTCAGATCAATAAATGCCGATAATTTTTCGATTGCGTTGGAAACCTGAAGTTCTAACGTCTTTACGCAACGAAAATAGTGGTGATGGATTATAGAAGAATTATTTACAATGAAATGATCGATATAATCAAAGAATAAGGTCTCTTCAGGTGCCGTGGTATATAGTGGTGGCCGAAAAGAAGTATTCGCACATGTGTCTGCAAAGTATGGAACTGAGAATAGACGTTGCCATGTACATGCCACGAACCATTGTTTCTCTTGAATCCAAAATGGTGTGCGAAATGACTCAAGAATTTGTTCGATCCAAACAATTCGTACGGAAAAATCAAAGTGGAACGTGATAAGTTGACGACTTATCGTTTCCCATTGTTGAGCATCGATAAGATCCATTGATCCTGTTGCTGATAGTTCAAGATGCTTAAGACGAGGAAGATTTAAGAGTAGATGGTTCATTTGATCCATTGAAACAGGTACATCTAGTAATTTAATCGTGTTAATCTTTCAATTATTACAAATACTTACCTCCTAAATTCAAGACTAAGCATTTTAATTGCTGCGCTGGCAAAAACATCTCATCATTTGTGTTAAAGACTATCTCATGAACTTTAAGAGACGTAAGCTGCGTAGCGGATGCACAGATTGTCATAAGTTCAGCGATCGAAGACTGTGATACAGTTAAAGAGCGAAGGCGAGGTAAGTGTTGTTGTGTTTGTAATTGGCTAGCGATATTAATTTGTAGTCGACTGGAATGAAATAGTACCTCTGCATAAGGCAATAGATCAACATTGGTTGATACAATTATCAGTCGATGATGACTATCCATATTCCTTACATAAGGATATATATGTTTCCATGATGCAGGTTCAATATTGACCAATGTGAGAAATCGAACTCGATTGAAGTCTGTTATTCGAAAGCGTGAAAAAAATAACTGTGTTTGACCAGGTGTATCATCAAGATCCGATAGCGTCAATGAGATGACTTGATTAGGTGGAATTCGACTGCAAACAAGATCATAATGTGATCTCAGGATTGATTTAAAATCAAATTGATAGCCTAAATAAGTAGACAATATGGTATCGAAAAATGGGTTGATACCAGAAAAGGCCAGCAAGATCTCGTGAGCTGGTAAATAATCAAAAATAATGCATATAATTTCCACAGGTAAACGAGCGAAATGATTACGATACATCCTGAAACGATCAAAGAAATAAAGCAACTACAATATAATGTCAAAATTTAAGCATATTCATTAGACTGAATATTTGTGATAAAGTATTTCATCTTGTTTGGACACATAAAATTCTTTTGTTTTTACTACGAATCTTGATTCTTACCGTATACATGCCTATAACCTTACCTTTTATATGTGTGAAAATACGTCAAGTTTGCGAACGATTCTAATGTTTCAAAGTATATACCTTATGATGAAAAATTTTTTAAAAATATAACGACGACGGACACCTTGATAATGTAGATGTGGAGATAAGAATATTTACTGAAATAAAGATGAAATTGTTTATAACTTAGATAATAGAAAAATTCTATTGAAAAAGAAAAAAAGATAACCTACCGTGTTAGTTAAAAGACTCTTATGAATAACACATACCGAGGATGTAGGTGTGGGTTAAGAGAAGATACACCTATACTTATAATGCTCATACTCTCATAAATCAACTCGGGTGGTAGAAAAAAGTTTTAGATGATTGATTTATTACAATGCTATTCTTGTCTTCGCTGTTTTTTTCATTTGAATTTGAATAAAGACAATCTTATCAGTAGTGTTATATGTCATTTTGCAAGCTACAGTTATATAATAAAAATCTTTCTTGCTGATATTGATTATCGAACAGGAAAGTAATTTGTATATTATTGTAAAACAAATTATGCCTCGCTCAAATTTCGGATTTCTAATGACTCTTTCGATAGTGTCTTATGCGTCGAGTATAGAATGAATCTATAAAAGAATCTTTATGTGACGATTTCTTATAGAATTACACTTTATTCTATTTCTTCTTATCAAGAATCGTATCGATTTCACACAAAATACACGCTTATATACCCACCCACTAGAGAAGAAAAATTAGAAAGAATAATGAGAACGGGATAAATATCGTTACACCTCCAGATAGAAATTGGATATTCTCGTGAGCGTCCGTAACATAAAGAGAGAAAAGTAAAAAATACGAAGAGAAGTAAAGTACAATATTAAAGTCGGTATAAAGAAAATATACGAAAAAAGAATACAACTAAGAAATACATATTAACGAATAACTATTCAAATGCAAGGTAAGGTGTGGGTTGGTGAGGTTGTGAGTATGAGATGTCGATAGTACGAATACTCAAACCCACACCCAGATCCACACTGATGATATGGATTTAATGTTTATAAGAATTGCAGAAATAATAAATCGTAATACTAGTATTAATAAATATGTTGATGGAATTGCGGTTCATTGGTATGCAACGGTAGATATGATATTCCCAGATTTTTATGAAATGTATTTGACAAGATTAGCATTTCCACAATTTTTTTATTTTGCATTAGAAGCTTGTGAAGGATATTTGAAAGCTGATGAAGGACCAAAAATGGGCATGTGACGACGTGGAACAAATTATGCGTTGTCAATTATTGGTGATTTACTTGTTGGAGCAACAGGTTGGACTGATTGGAATCTTGTTTTAGATTTACACGGTGGTCCAAACCAATTTCAATATTATGTTGATTCATCTATTATAGCAAATACAACGGGTGGAAATGTTTTTTATAAAAATCCAAGGTATTATGCAATGGAACATTTTTCGAAATTTCTTCCGCGAAACTCTATTCGTAGTGAAATGAAAGTAGTGAAAGAAAGAAAAATACGTTATGTTGTCCCATTGAAAATCGTAAGTTTCAAAACACCAATGAATCAAATGGTTCTTATTGCTTTAAATCAAGATACAAACCAGACGCAAATCGCACAAATAAAAGATTCTAATCATGGTTATTTAACTTTAACATTATTACCAGAATCAATACAGACAGTTGCTTACAATGTTGCAACTACTGACTAGTTATTTTCTTAGAAGAAAAACTTTTTTAAAACATACTTCTATTTTTATCGATAATTTAAGCGTTTTTATGTATTCAATAAATTATCTATTTTGATTATGATCACACCCACATCCTCTGTAAAATACTTTTTTTATCTAACATATATATTAGCCTATAGATTGAACATGTTTTTCCGTAAATTATTATCATATTTACCATCATTATAAAATAAAATGTGTCAATAAATGATAGACATTTGGCATACAACACGAATGCCAACCGTGAGCACGATGGCAGAAAAAAGTAAAGGTAATACATTGAAAGGATTTTGGGGTGGTTGCCGTTCTCTACTTGTTCCATTAATGATTGCTGTATTTACAATAACAACAACGGTTCTACAGATGAATGCAACTAGACAAATTAATGAACAAAATTTGCAAATTGCAATTGATAATCGTGATATAGCTAATTATAGTCGTATTCAGCAACTTGCAATTGAAGAATCACGTCGTAAATTAGAACGTGAAATTGAAGAACAACGACGAGAAACAGATAGACAAATTGCACAACATAATCGTGAACAAGATTTACATGTGGCAAATGAAACTCGTTTACATCAAATTGCAATTGAAGATGCACGATTGGAACAAGAACGACGTATTGAAGATCAACGGAGAGAAGCAGATTTTTCAGCAATAGAAAATCGACAGATGGATTCAATATTAGCGACATATTTAAAAGAGATGAGCGAATTTCTTTTGATGGATAATTTTACTTTGGAAAATCGTCGTTGGGCAATTGTAGTTCGTGCTAAAACACTCACCATTCTTCGTCAACTTGATGCCAAACGAAAGTCTCATACTATTCAATTTCTATATGAAGCTGAATTACTTACGAATAAAAACGATCCAGTTGATTTGACTAATGCTGATTTAAATAATATCGATATGAGCGATCGAAAACTTAACAATATATCACTTAGTGGAGCATTGCTTCACAATGCTAAGTTTGTTGAAACTGTATTAAACAATAGTAATTTCAATAGTGCTAAACTTATCAATAGTACATTTGAGAAAGCTAAACTTAATAATGCAACATTCTATAATTGTGATGCATCGTCATCTAACTTTAATGGAGCTATGTTACATGGAGCTATATTTGAATATGGTCGTCTTATTAAGACAACTTGGCGTGATGTGGATGGACATAAAATTATATTCAATAAAGCTCGAATTGATGACTCGGATTTTTACAAGGCTAATCTTGATTATACAAGCTTCTACTGGACACTTTTACGTGGTGTTAGTTTTAATCAAACGCAATTAAATTTTGTTGATTGGAAAACTGCCACTGTACTTGGTGCTGACTTTTTTAAAGCTGATCTGCGTCAAAGTAATATTACTTTGAAACAATTAAGGCAAACATATTCATATGATCAAGCAAAGCTTCCTAATAATGCACCAACAATAAACAAAACAAATTTACTATCCTATGGTGATGCTGAACAGGCGACTAATAAGATGAAATGTTCAATGAGGGAATGGGATTCTGATAAAACGATAGTGACACGTACTTATGCTCCAGACAAAGTCGCAACTAGTCTTGGCTCATGTTTCTTCACAGGAGTGGAAGGTGTCATAAAAGCTACTATGCGTCAAATAATTACAATTAATTCAACAAACTTTAAGAATGATAGTCGCATATGGATCTATGGTCGTTGTCGTGAATACGTTCCAGCTGATGAATTCAAAGTTCAGTTTCAAGTACTTCAATTAGATAAAGATAATCATATCTTGACAAATCATACGTTTAATTTAAGTGAGAATAATGACATAATCAAACCTTTTTTTTGATTTATTCTATTTTTAGACTCACAGGATGAACAAGAACATGATGAAAAAAGTGTCCTTTACAATTTATTAACCACTCAAATTGGATTTGAAGTTACTTTTAGACGGCAACTACAGGCACCGTTAAATCAATCATTGGGTTATTGTGATAATCTAAGATTATTTATATATGATAGCAATTATTCTTAAATTTGACATTTAAAATTTAAAATTTAAGATGCATCTTGCTTTTTTCTTTTGAAGTCACAACAAATTCTGCAGCACTGCTTATAAGACCCACACACACATACTCTCTCTTTTCTTATCTTGACTCTTAATCATAATGGCACACATTAATTCTCAATGATTTGCATAAGAATTATGTGCTTTTTCTCTATATTAATAAATATTTGAAGAAGCATATTCATTGCTGTTATCACTATTTATAAATATCGCACACTATCTTATTTCACTCTGAAAGAAGAATACGCACTTTTTTCTGTATGATGACACTTAAACTTCTGTTATTATTAGTGTGTATAACTGCCGTGATTCAAAGTAAAAGTGTGCAATAGCATCATCATCGACGACAGTTATTCGGGAGTAGTACATCACATATTCCAAATAGTGGTTATCGAGTAGATTCCTATAAGGTTTATTTCAATGAACAATTAGTTGAAGGTCTCTCTGCATCGTCATTCAAAGATCTTGGTTACGGTTATGCAAAAGATATAATGCATGTATTTTGTATGGGCAAACAAATTAAAGGTGCATCTAGTCCGTCATTCTAAGTCTTGGCTGGTGGGTGATATTCAAAAGATTTGATGGATGTTTACTATTGGGGTGAAAAACTACCAGGTGCATCTGGTAGTTCATTTCAAGTCTTAACCGGTCAATATGCCAAAGATTTTATGGACGTTTATTATGCTGGAAAAAAGGTACAAGGTGCATCAGCTTCATCATTTAAAGTATTAGGCAATAGTTCTGCTAAAGATTCACAGGACACCTGTTATATGGAAGAGAAAGCACACAATGGTTAAAAAAAATTGACTCACCATTATATTTGATCTTAGATATATTTCTTCATATTTTATTCAACTTTTATGAAAATAAAAAAAAAGAAACAAATAAAGCTTTATTGTGTGTATGTGTGTGTGTAGGTGGGTGTGGGTGTAGGCGATTAACTTTTTATTCTAACCCACACCCACACCCTCATCCTTACCCACCCACGCCCACAACCACACTCACGCCAACCCACCCTCTGTGTTTTGTAATTATTTTCGATCAATATATAGAAAAATGAAATAAAGTAATATAGTTGATTCAATACATTGAATAGTTTCGGATTTTTGCGGGAGTTGAATTATGTAATTTTTAAGCGTTTGTCTTTTTTACCTTCGGTTTGAACATCCATTTAAGAATCTTCTGTCCGATCCCAGTTTCACCAAATTCTTTCTTATATACACTTGAAGGAAGGACAAACAGAATAAAACCAAGTAGTTGCGGAACGTAAGAGAGAAGAACACAAACGATAAGTGTGTGCTTCTTCCAATTGTTCAATTGAGTACAAGTGAGACTGAATGAGAGAATGACTTGTGGGAGAGAAGAAATAATAATAGTGAATGGTGTTACGTAGAGTTCTTTTTGAATAGAAATTTGATTTTTCAGTACCTGCCGGAATGTTTGTCGATCCTTTACTGTTTTCGCGCGACTACGAGCAGCAAGAATGATCATACGACTAATAGCAATGATTTGAATACAAAATGGTAGTAGGTAATGAATGAGAGTATTTATTCGATTATAAATCTCTACTGCGCGATGATTAAAATTACTGACACAATGAACACTAGAAGAATCTAGATCACGAAGTGTTTGATAATAGAAAAGCTCATGTACATGCGTGCCGAGAACAATAATCAGCGTGCTTATACTAAAGTAGATTGCTAAGCGTGGATTTTTTATAGAAGTCGAAACTGGATATATAATTGTCAGGAGACGATTCACTGCAATCCAACTTGTTAACCAATATGTTGATCGAGTAAAGATCGAAAGAAGATAGGTGATCGTCTTACATGATATATCACTTGCTAATCCTTTTGACCCGAGGAAAATAGAAATAAATTTCAATAAGAATACAAGTAGACTACATTGATTGAGGATAGTGACAAATAGTAAATAGTTTCCAACACCAGACTTTCGTGGTAAACTGCGTTTAAAAGTTATGAACGAACAGTAATTGTTGAAAAGACCAATACAAAATAGAATCGAAGCCACACTTATATAAGTAATATGAATGGCTGTCATCTGAGATACTAATAAAGAGTCAAGAGTAAAGCCAAATGCTTGTAGACTGAATTCACAACGAGTACCTTGAGTGCAAGAACGACAAATACATATAAAGTCATTGGCTTTTTTTAGATCGCCTCGAATGCATTGACCACCAGACAAGCAATTATCACAATGGTCAATTTTCGAATCGTACGCAAAGCATTCTGCTCTTTTCTTTCCACATAGACAAAAATAATTCGAGTCATAAAAACAGATACGATCGGCATCATTCCGACAGATATTGTGATATGTGAAAATACTATGGTCACTAATTGTTATATCTGCAAAAACAAAGTATGAAGGTCTTTACACAAACTTACGGGAGAAATATATTACCTTGCGAAAATATGTTTGAAACATGTGGACATTCTACGGGTGTTGAAGTTATATTAATAGGTCCCGTAAGCCATTGAGCGTAAACAATAAAATATCTTGGACTCAACATTTCTTGGTAAATCTTTAATAGAGCCATAAAAGGGAATTCTTCTCGGTCATTATCATAGCGAATTATTTGTGGCAAACCATGTGTCACTTGTTGATGAGATAAAGAAAGTGTGTTATATAGTTTAAAATGATCGTAAAATTGGGTAACGCTCACTGCTATCAATGCTGTCATATTTACTTGAATGTGAATCATTAACTTTTCATTCTCGCATCGATCACCATAAAACCGTTCAGGACACACACAAATAACATTATTTTCTCCACTAGGATCATAAGATGGATAACATGTTGCATTCAATCCACATGGATTTGATTTACAAGCGTCATTTCGAAGATGACATCGAGGACCAAAATAACCAAAAGGACAAATGCAAAGAGGATGCTGAGTATTAGCAATCACACCGCGATAATTTGGTCGGCAAATGGAATTAGAGCTGCAGTAAATCGAACACTCGGTATGATAGTTCTCACACTTCGAACCACTATAGCCTGATTTGCATGAACATATATAATATCGCATTTTGTTCAGAATTGGATTACAATAAGCATTTGCGTTACATGGATTCGAATTGCAAGGATTAAGCGTAGAATTACTGATCCATGATGGATATTTTAAGACAGTAGCTAGACGAAAGGCAGGAAGAAAATCAAAGTAGATTTGATGAGAGAAAGAACCAATCTGTTTCGTTGCATTCTCAGTTAGTACAAAGATATCAAAGTAAACTTCATATGGATGATCATGAAGGATGTCGGTACGATTGAAATATCGCGATTTTTTATGATTTAAGTAAGCATCGGATCGAGAATAAAGTAAATAGAATCGATGTTTAATAGGTTTGTTAATTTCCACTAAAGGATTGATGTGAAAGATATGGTAATCCATACTTGTGTTCCTGAAATCTAAACGAGCTACGACTGTTATTAATCGAGTTGAACTAGAGGCTGGAAAAGTAGGCAAATCCACATGGGTGATGACTGAGATGCGATCAGAGAAGAATTGACAGTAAACTCCATAGAAAGTTGGTGGGCACAGGCATCGAAGGGACATTGGATAAGGAATGAAAAGTGGGAAACCTCGATTACATATATATGATAACTGTACCACAAGTTCTGGATCTACACTTTTAGAAAATAAATTTTTGGAATTGTTCTGCTCTTTCCCGAAAGATTGCATTAGTGATAATTGTGGCGATGACCATTTAAAAGGTGATTTGTTGTTTTTCTTTCCAAGAGGTGGAACATTTACTTTGGGAAAAGTGCGTATATCAGGGAGAGAATAATATAGTCTTCTGTTTTCGTGCTTTATAATTCGATAACGTAGACTGTCTTCGAATCGTTTTTCCGATGGGCACCAGTGCTCATCTTCTCCATGTTGACACTGATACATTCCATCGCATCGAGCATTTTCTACACATGTTCCATCCAGACAAACAACATCTTGTAGTCCAGCACACCAAGACGAATTCTTACTTGTATAGGAACAGAGTACAGATGTTGAGCATACTGTATTTTTGTCACATTTTTGTAAAAAGTCTGCACATTTGTTTCCACATTTTAGTGTATATCCCAGCATATTTCCGTCGCAATCTTTGAAAGTATTCTTTTCATCAATACCTCCGTAACAATCTTCGATGCCATCGCCAATTTGTATATGATTGATGCACGGCCGACTTTTGTTGACGTCTAAAGGATCGGAAACTGTTGATCGATAACAAGGATATTCGCGACTAAAGTTACAGAAATCACGAAATGGTAATGCTGCATAGTTCACCTTACATAATTCTTTTCGATCTTTCAACTGGTTGGATAGATGTTCATTGTAATTGATCCATTGCTCGGGTAGACCGAACTCATCACTTGCATCCGAACAATCCCATTCTCCATCACATACCCAATTGATTAGAATACACTGGCCAGTGTTACATCGAAAAAATTCTTCTGGGCAAATCCATGATTGACAATTAGTCGTATTTTCATCATCGTGTAGTGGTTGTTCGTCCCAAAATGTGTCACAATAATAATGAAAAGGAGTTACACCTAGTGATCGCTGTTCACTGCTGGATTCGGCATTAGTATTTGTGAAGTTGGAATTCGGAATGGATGAATTGCCAATATAATATCGAAGCAGATTGCAGTCGCTGAAGCCTATAGTATCCCAGCAACGTGTACTATATAGATATTGTCCTTCGCCTTTAATTTTTATGTCGTACTTATTTATACACGTGCCTCCAAAGGTTCGAAATTGAACCAGATTTTTAAGTGATAAGCAAGTCATCTGTTCTGAAGAACACTGGAATCGATGCTTTTGAATGTTGTGACAATAATTTTCTTTTTCAACTGCACGATTATCTTCGTCCTCTCTATGTGCACAGTCTAGTGTCCCATCTGCAATTCGATATTGTGAAAAACATATACTTGAATTTGGACAAATATCATAAAAAGCATACGGTCGTCCACTGAAAGTGAACGAATCATTCCAACATGTAACTGAATATTTGTACAACGACATAATATTCCGATGCTTCATTGGCATAATAGAACAGAAACTATCATCTAGATTGGAGACTGAATATAGATTATAAAGCTTGATATTAAAGTTATCATCCTGCGTCAAAACAGTGTGAAATCCTCGACATCTGATACTTCCGACGAAATAAGTCAAATCCGGGGTCTTGTCATTCCAAGTTTGTTCCCACGAATAATATTGCTTAATCCATGGCCGGATAATGCCTCGATATGGATATGGATAGCTGCTGCCATGCTCACAGACTTCTTGCATCAATGTATTACAGTTTATTCCATCACATGGACATTGAATTTCAGCTCCCTTTGAAAGTGCACAGCGAATGTAATAGATGCATTTCGTAAAGTTCGATGAGAGTATCAAAGAAGTATCATTGTAACCCCATCCCGCACAAAGACCACCCGGTTTTGTCCACAATGCCAAGTCAGATGCTAATTCACACATGTGATTGAATTCTCGCATACTATAGCACAATCTAGAGTCTTGCAATTCTGTTTGGTAGATATGTCGCTTAAAATAATAAATACATTGACCATCTCCACATGACCAATAATATTTGCTACATTTATGATCATCACAATAGATGGGCCACGGATAAGCGACGCAAGTATCTCCAGATAGATCCAATATTTCATCGGTCCCATCCATACAATCATGTGAACCTATTTGAAAAAGTGTTTTTCAAATTTTTTTTTCGCCCTATGTCTACGTCTTTGACTTCTCAACTTACCATCAATCCAATATTCTTCTGCTATACACATTCCATCGGTACAACGATATTCATCATTTTCACATTCATTGAATTCCAATAAATCACAGTTTTCTTCATCAAG